GCGCCGATTTTGCGGCGCAAACAAAGCCGTGGGTTGTCTACGGCGAACTTGTGGCGTTTTATCAGCCGGTACTTACCGGCGGACAATCCGACAGAAACTTACCGTCGCATATGGCGCCGGAATTTATCGGTTGCAAGTCGTCGGCACCAACCCGATGTTTTACGCCGGTAAGACGTCGGTACGTGCGCCGGAACGTTTTCCGGCGTATTACATTCGTCGGAAAAAATTTATCGACGCGACCGAAACCGGCGTATGAATTTCCGCCGAAACATGCGCCGGAAACCTATGGTTCCGTCGGATTATCTATGTGTTCCGGCGGATTTGGTCCGCCGGTAATAACGGGTTTTCCTGTAGTGAATGCTATTTGCATTTTAAAAAAAAAAAATAACAGATACCACTCATCAGAAATGAATGAAAAATAATGATTCATAAATCTAACTCCAAATAGTTGGTATAAAACTAATGATGAATTAAATAATGGGATTAGCTCAGAGAATACAAATTGAGCAGTTGAATGCAATTCTCCCTTAAAAATATCTCCTTTCACTTAACAATTAATAACCAAAAAGAAGAAAAAATAGCTTTAAAACTTCTGAAAAAGCCCAAGCTCACAATAAGGTTTGCATGCCAGAAAATAAAATTAAACTTGTATAAATAAATTGATTATCATGTATACCTTCCTGTCCTTATTCAGGGAAATTTGAAAATTTGAAAGTCAATTTATACACCACAGAATTACGTCGCTCAATATCAGCACAGTATTTTTTTACAAGGCCTACAATATCTAATGCAAGAAACTATAAACAGGATATCGCTAAATTAAACAGGATCATATTAGATCGGCCCTTGAATGAATAATCAGAGACTTAACAGAACCAAATATCATAGATGAAAACAACCAAATTACTTTTACCAAAATATCTTAAGAGAGTCTGAAATCACATTGCTAGCATGGAGGATGGATGAAAGGATATGAGAAATTGTTTGCAGAAATACAAATGGATGGTTATCCCTAGATGGATAGTTATCCCTATAAATAACAACAGAGAAAATATGCATGGTACCTCGAGACTTTAATAATAGTTTAAAAAATAAAATCCATCAACAGGCAATCTCAAACTCACAGATACCAGCTGGAAGAACCAAATAGAAGTATTCAAAAATAATTTCTAAGCAGCATTTTTTTCACAAATAAATAGCCAATTCCTAGCAAACAATCTAAGATATAGCATGCAACTTTCATTTATCTGCTACGAAATAATAGATTATTTTTAATAAGGACCATCTATATCTGCCCTTTTATATACATTCCCCTAAGAAAATATAACATTCAAAAATCCATGTGCATTAGACAGCAAATTTAACTACAAATAAATAAATAAGTCAAACATTAAGGCTGCAAATTCAATACTAATGACATAATTTACCACTCTTTTGATGAAGATTGACTGATATGAAACCAAAAAAACATGTGAAACAAGAGTGTGAATGCCATACTGGGCGGTTTATTTTGTGGCTCTGGTGCAATACGAAATTTATGATAGTTTCGTAGAATTTCACAAATTTCTGCAGGGCGTAACCATCGATGTTGTGCTTCCCGAAGTATTTGTTCAATATCTATAAAAAATCACAACCATGTTAGATAATACTGAGATGAAGTTGAGTATGAAAGGCCAACAAGAGGGAAAAATAACAAAGAAAATATAAAAGGGTCAAGTTACTAAGTTTATGTCATACATGTCTTGACAACAAACTGTTATGCCATTAAATGACCCAGTAATAGTCAAGCTATTTCACAAAAGATAAGAAGAAATTAAAGATGTGAATGATAAGAGCAAGATACATCAATCATGATATTTAAACTATTCCCTCATTTGAAAAACAAGCTGTCATGATTGATCTATTATGCAATTAATATGTAGTATGAGGTCACAAAATACACTTTAAACCATATCTGAGCTGATGATGATAATGAGAAACAAGATACAGTTAAGGAATCATTTTGCTATTTCTGATAAAAAAAAATGAACAAGATACAGTTTTAAAATACAAATTAAACAAAAAGAAACTTATGTCATCATCACCATTACAAGCTAAAACATAATATTAAGTGTAGGCTTTTCCTTCGCTCTTCCTCCTTCCAAGGATAAAGGATTCAAAAGCATCACCACATTCCTCAATAAACATAAGCATCATTGAACCTCACCAAAGATAAACGAGAAAATATTTATCATTTCATAAGCTCAATCATTTTCACTGCTCAAGAAGCTTTTCCCTGTGATAAACATACAATAGCTCTAAAACAACATCAAGACATTGTATGCATCCATTAAAATGAGGCCAAAAATATTCATATTATAGAAATGCATGCAAACTAATATGCATTTGTTGAGAAATAGAAGTTTTTCCTTGTGATAAACCTGCTAATGGAGCCAATCCCCAGCAAAACGTAGAAGGATTTCCATAAACATACATTTTTACAATACAGTCCCAGGACTGGGCAGCCAGCAAAATTCTACATAATCATCAACAAAGAACCAAGCCTTCATGTTAATAAATTGTCACAAAAAATTATAGATCTTATATATTTTGTATGCTTGAGTTCTTACAAACCGTCTAGGGAAAACTAACTGTAGCAATAACTTGATGTAATAGGCACTCTAAATGGAACCATGATATATATTTGACTGATCACATACAAGTGAAATTAATTGTTTAGAAGACCATGATAAGAATACACTCCAAAAGAATCCAATAATTGAATACTACCATAACTAGTAAGACGGCAGTTTCTTTCATAAACCAAAATCCCCACCAAACCCATTCAATTATGTCCTTGAACATATGTGTACAGCAGTTCTGATCCTTACAGAGGCAAATAAAACATCATACACTCATGATTTTCAACCCCAAAAAGATTGTAGAATTTCTTCACCAGGAAGTATGGATGGTATGCTATAATTTAAGGATTTCATAAAAAATGTAACATTGTTCAGAGAAGATCAGTCACACTCAAAACTATTATGTTTACCTATAAGACACCCCAAGTCCCTACTATTTCCTCTATCACATGTAATAGCAAACTCTTAGAAATCAGCAGCTAAATCACAAGGTTTAATCCATGGGTTGTTCATCATCAACATTATCTTTTGCATCAAATACGATTGCATGTATCCTTCAATGATAACAGATTAGCCTGAACCCTGCTATGTCAGCTATTAGTTCAATCCCATCAGAAACAACAGTTTTCTACAAAGCTGTTTGTCTTTTAAAAAAATTTCTAATTTCTACCGAAACCCCAAACCGACTCTAGTTCTCTGGCCTAATATAAAGATCTCAACAGCATCGTCAACCTTACTCCTTGAGATAGTTTCATAGTGGGGTTTGTTAACCACTACAATCTTACTAGCAAACAGCCACAAGGGCTCTGGACTCGTAGCAAGGCCACAGCAGCTGCTTTACCATAAGTAATCATGCCATGAATCCTACCTGAGAAAACTGCAATCTCCCAATTGACTACTCATTGACCACTACAATCTTACCAACAACCAGCCAGAAGTGTTCCAGCCTCATAGCAAGCGCACAGCAGCAAAGCCAACTTAGACCATCATGCTAAGGAGGTTACTAGAGACGGTCGAGGATAGAGGTACTATTTGCTCTCTGGCTATTACAATCATACTAGAAACCAGCCCCAAAGGAGCCAACCATATAGCAAGGGCTCTCAAGATCTCACCAATTCAATCAAGCTTTATATAGAAGCTTAGAGCTCACATTGGTGGCACAGAGCCTTGCTGAAAACCAGTCCTGTGGGTTCAAGGCTTATAGTAGCTCTCAGAAGGTCTCACCAGTTTACTCAAGGCTAGCAATGAAGCTTCGGGATTATATAGGCTTGACAGGGTCTTGCAGGCAACTATAAGCTCACAAGAGAACACCAATGAGTTCAGACATCCCAAAGAGACAACTGCTCAAACCTCAATAGTCAGGCATAAAACCTCAATGGACAGAGGTTTGAAGACATGGGGCTTAATGGAAGCTCCAATGAATCTTTATTTGCAATTTATCATCATGTTAAATTTCCCATATTCTATGTAATTGGGTGGAAAGTAGGAAATATTAGTGATATCGGTGTGTTCCAAGTAAATAGCTTAGTTTATGGTGTTAGATTTTTTAATATTTAGAGAACCCAAAATATTAACATAATAGGGTTATAGCAGCCACGGTACACGAACCAAGAGAGATCTGCAATTTTATATCTACATCAAAACTGCGTTGAATTCATATAGAAATCGTTCTTTTGTTTGCACTTTATGGAGAACAAACAACCCTAAGTACTTCAATACTGATAAATTCCTGAATATTTATCAACCCTCCAAGCAGGAGAGAAATTGGTATAAGAAACAACATTAAGAACCACAAATTCTTCTACAAAGTCACCAGATCCAACTCATAAAAAAGAACTAAGACGTAACATAACGAGTCGATCACAAACAACAAAAGAATTCAAGAGTTCCTCACCTAACTGAGGAGTCAACCCCAAACGGCGACCGTCAGCCATGAAACAGACAGCTTGCTACAGCGCAACAGAAGATCCCCAGCTCGATCTCAAAAGCCTAAAGGGCAGGCACGGCATCGAAATCCGCAGTACAACTGAAGCAAAACGCCGGCCTTTCAACCACTTGGAAAGAAGGCAAAATATCAACAGGCTATTTTTTGCCGTGTGAGTCTTCCACGAGATCGGATTTCGAGATAGGATTTCTGTGGATTAATACAAAGATCAAGTCAGATCTTGACCATTTCGTCCTCTTTTTTTTCGGGAGGGGCTGAAATGGGAGGAAGGAGAGAAGCACGAAAGAGCTGTTTTGGTAACAAGAAATAGCGGAGAAGAGAGACTGTTGCTACCTTGGTTGATAAATTTTCCCTAAAAATACAAAGATTTGTTGGTAAACCTTGAAAATGAGCAGTAAAATAATGATGGCGATTTGGTTGACTTGCGGAGCATCCATGGTCTTTCTGACGTCTGGTGACCATAGGTGAGCATAAACTGCCGCTACGCGACGTCCTTTCTTTCGCTGAATATGTGTTTGTCGTAATGCCCCACTGAAAACGACTCGGAATCCCATGTGGCGAATGTAGGAAGCTCTTTCGTTATGTTTTTCTTTGAGTTCGTTTGTTGCTGTTAGAAGATAGTATTTTTGAACTTATAAAACTATTTCTTAAAAAAACGAGTAAAATAATAATAATATTTTTTAAAATTGTTTTATATCTACAAATAATTGAATGAGCATTTAAATTAAATCACATTATTGTACGGAAATTCTTAAAGGGCAATGCTTATAATTTAGAAGTATGAGGCTCACTATAGAATGTGTCAAATGGCTCCATTAAATGATTAAGAGCACAATATAATTGGGACTCTTAATAAGAAGAGGTGGAACATCCCTTTCAAGAAGGATAGGCTCACCAAAATATGTCTAACATAGATAGGAAGCTAATGCTTAAGTTAGGTGGAGGTTTAGGGTTATCAAAAGTAGATGAAGAGGCAAGACCAATAACCTTTAAGACTAAAGCAGAGGGGAATTATAACTAAAATGCATTTTTAATGTTGATGGAGAGTTATAGGGATAGGTATGTGAATTAATCACAATCAAGTAGAATGGTGCATGAATCTTCGGGTTGGAAACAAGTTTGAGTTTATAATAAGGCTTATGTCGTACATGTTCGGATTCCTTATCTATTCACAATAAATTCTTTGTCTAATTGTTGTATTTTAATAGAAAATTATTATCCTGACCATAGTGAGCAACATCCATGTCGTAAAGCCAATAATTACCTAAAAGAATACGTGATATATCTAAAAAGGATATTGCATAACTATCTAGTTTGGGGTCTATGTTAAGAGAGTTGTTATTTTGCATGTTTACATTCTTGCAACTTGTATTATTTTGATGATTTCAATTATTATTGTTTTGCATATATCTCCTAACACAATTTGGAATATTTATTTCTTGCTCTAGTGTGTACTAACATTTCAGGAAAATCAACTCCAATATATTGAAGACTTGTAATCAAATTCAACATGTTTTCATAATTTTTTAAATGAGAGGGAGTGATTGTAATTGGGTAAAAAATCACAAGTCCTAATCGTCCAGGACGACTTTAACATTCATCCCAGGACGAATATCTCTGTATTCTCACCATGGCCTATTCGTCCAGACGAAAAATAAGGTTCATCCCAGGACGATCTTCTCTATCTTGAAGCTTGCTCTGTTCGTCCAGACGAAAAATAATATTCATCCCAGGACGATCTTCTCTGTCTTGAAACTTGCTCTGTTCGTCCAGATGAAAAATAATAATTGTCTAAGGACGATCAGGACGATCTTCTATGTCTTGAAGCTTGCTCTGTTCGTCCAGACGAAAAATAATATTCATCCCAGGACGATCTTCTCTGTTCTGAAGCTTTCTCGGTTCGTCCAGAAGAAAAATATTATTCGTCCCAGGACGATCTTCTCTGTCTTGAGGCTCGCTCCATTCGTCCAGACAAAACCTATTCGTCCAAGGACAAACTGAACCGATATACGTCAGTTGGTTACGTCCTAAAAATTTTTGTGAACCGACTTATGTAATAACCGTTTCGTACCGGACGAACTTGGTTCATATGGGACGAATAGCATGTACGAAAATATTTCGTACCAATATGCATAAGGTTCGTTTCTGACCATTTAAGTAAAATCGTTCAGGACGATCCACGATCGTACGGGACGATCCACTGCGTATAAAATTGAAAACTTGCTGTTTTTGGACGGTTTTTCTTGTCTTTTGTATAAGTAGTCCAAATTAGACTGCCACCCAATCTTTTTGTCATTTGATCTCGTGCCTATTGAGAGAAAAGTCAAGGAGAGAGTGTAAGAGAGCATTCAAAGGAGGATTCCTACCACTGGAGTGTGAAGACTTCACTTTGTGTTTAAAGGTAAGAATCTCTACTTATGAATTGGGATTACTTCACTCTTTTCTTTCTTCCTTCTAGATTTCTTGTGATAAGATCTGTCAAGGAGATCTGGTTCGCTGCCGACATTTGGAGAGTGTGAACAGCCGAAGGGTTCACTGCCTACACTTGGAGAGTGTGAACAGCCGAAGGGTTCTTTGCCCACACTAGGAGAGTGTGAAAGGACGAATGGTTCTCTGCCCACACTAGGAGAGTGTGAAAGGACGAAGGGTTCTCTGCCCACACTAGGAGAGTATGAAAGGACGGACGGTTCTCTGCCAACACTGTAGATTGTGTAAAAGGACGACGGTTCTCTGCCGCACCGGGTAGTGGTGAAAAGAGTGTTTGTAAAGGCTTCTCCGCCTTGCTGTGGGTGCAAAAGGAGAGACACTATTGGTATTAGTGCAATACTCAGAGGGTGCCTTTGAGGAGTGGATGTAGGTCTGGTTTAGACCGAACCACTATAAATCTTGTGTCATTTACTTTACTGCTTTTTATTTTTCGCATTTTTCTTTTGTTTAAAAACTCTGTGGTTGAAAAACTTTTTCTAAAAATTTAATAAAAATTTTCAATTCGGTTCAACACATTTTCAAAGAGGGTTCATTTTTAAAAATACCCCCTTCTTGGTAGCCTTGGGACATTAACTTAGGTCTAACAACCTATTCACTAGACTCAACAGTCTAGGCATCTAATGCCCATTAGGTAGGAAATGTTATTTACCTAAATAATATTGAATGATGTAGAATGTGGCTAAAGCTAGTGGATATGTTATTCATTGTATTGCCACTGTTAATAACTAACATTTATCTTTTCCAACCATATGTGGTATTTTTTTGGGTGATTATTATACTTTTAACTTTAAATAACATAATTGATAGAGATTTTATAGAGTTAGTGCAATGCAAGCATAAAGTACATAAGACAAAGTATTGCATTAAGATTCTAGATCCTTGCAAGTATGAGCCACCGACATGACATGTCATATCGTGCTTAATGGTGACAGACCAAGCCCATGATAAAAGTTTTAGGGACTTTTCATATTTCTTCAAATTAAAAGACAACAGAACTTCAAATTTACTTCTCGTTAGCAAAAAATAAACTAATCCAAAATTTTCTTTTCATTTATCATCAAAATGCATATACAACGACACCTACATACTAAAGTGCATGACTACAAACAAAATAGAGCAAACAAATAAATAGGCATGACTGCACAAAAATCATAAATTAAAAAAAAAAAACATATATGGACTCAAACAAATCAGAACTTGGGACCACAACTACTCAACTGGCTTTTTCTCCTTCCCTTGACATGAAAATAGAATGCAGAATATGTGTGAGCCAATATAGCCTAGCAGGTCACATCTACAAATCTAAATTTGTAATATTTATTTCATTATACATTTAATTAAACTTTAAAAGTTGTTAATAACAATTCATTATACCGAACAGAATATTGCTTGTATTTATCAAATTAAATAAACAATGTAGGAAAAGTAAATAAACAAGTACTATGTATATCATCCCCTAGGCCCTTATATCAAACATCGAAAACATATATAAAAAATTAGGCCCTTATGACTCATTATACTAGCACATCAAAAAATAGGTGGTTATGACTCTCAATGATTAGTACATATAAGAAATTTAGGACCTTATGACTCTGTATATGCTTAGCACTATATCTTCATCCAACATTAGAGCTTCAAAGAATCATATATTTTAAATAGATAAGTATATACATCATTACATTATAGTAAAAGAAATCCAAATAATCCAATTTCAAAAATTCATATAATGCTTTATCAGTAGGCAACAAATTCAACGATTAAACAAAATTTCACAGTTTCAAAGTTTTACAAAATTATTAGGGATTTCTCATAACACTATTTTGAAAGCTTTAATTATAGTACAATATTATTTTATAGGATTATAATTATTTTTTTTAATTAGATAAAATAGTGCACTTTCAATTTACCTAGCAAAATGTTTTTAAAAAATTACCTAAATATTCTAAATAGTTGTATCTAAAGCATTCATAAAGTTACAACATAAAAATTTAGTGAGTGTAAAGTTATCCTCATTTTTATGCTACAAAATTATAATTTGAATCAGAATAATAAAAAAAAATTATATTTTTTGAAAATTGATACAAGTGAAATATAACATACATTGATCTGAAAAACATTTAGAACTGGACTGATAGTGAAAAATGGATCAGATTCATCAAAATCTATCTTTCTCTCTCTAGGATTCTCTCTCTATCTCTTTAATTAGCTGTTCTTAGAAATGGGGGAATGTGTTTTGGAAAAATGTAATTGAAATAGATTTTAATATTTTATTAAAAAAAATTTTGGCATCATGGTGCTCGATGCTATAATGTTGAAGCCTTGAATTATTTTTGTAAAAGGATTGAGAGCTCAATGTTGCAGCGTCGCCTACCCTGACGCAATGGCACTCCCAAGAGAAAATTATTAGTTTTTTTTTTTTCATTCATGCATATAGACCCCTAGGGCCTACTTCATAACATATTTAGACTCTCACATGCATATAAAATATTTACAAACACATGCAAGAAGTTTAAATACAAAAATTTTAGTGAATTACATTTACAAGACTGATTCAGAATAAGTACAATTGCATATTATTTTATCAATTATTATTATCCTTCCCTTAAAAAAATATTATCCTCAAAATTTTAAAATTCAAATCAATAAAATAGAGTGTGATACAATTTTTTTTTTTGGTTAAAACCCATGAAGGGGCCTACGCATTAATAATTAAAAACAAATATAAGGTCCTTAAGGGATACCAGCAGCTCTCTAATGCTCGAATGAGCTACAAAACAAAGCAAAAGAAAACCTATGAGCCAATAGTCTCCACTAATTAAAAACACAAGACGACCTAGTAACATGCTAATGATGCTATAG